GGAGAAAACCAGATGATATTAGGAGGCATGACCTAGAAGTAAGAAAATACACTATGATACAATACAGCTAATGTTCTGCGACCCTCTTCAACGGGATCACGGATGCAGACTTTCTAATATTGTTTATCATATTTTTTATTAAAAAAAACTTCCTAGTAAATGTGGCAGGTTATACCGGTGCTGCCTAAAATTTTTGGTCATTCTGCATTTTGAATAAGTCGAGTCTTTCCCTCACAAGTCACAACTAAGCCCACTGCACGCACGGCGACGGCAGGGGCAGTAGACTTTGCTTGGTTGAAGGTTGAACTTGCAGTGTGCACAGAGAGAGTCGACTTCCGAGATGGTTAACCTTATCGAAATTCCAAAGGGAAAATACTGATAATTAATCAGTTCAAAACTTGCACTTGTAAGCGATCGATTTTAAATGTTTTTAGAAAGCAATAAGGTCGAAGTATCAAGTATGTAATAATGTGTGTCCGGGGGATTGGGTATTACATTCTCAGAAGGAGAGGGTGAATGAATGTATCAATAATTCTACAGAATTATTGATACTTTTTTTAACTAAAAAGCATGGAAAGGAATTTGAACACTGAACAGGCATATTAGTTAATTATTACCTCTAATATCTTGTTTATTCCAGACTTCCAGTTAGGGCTGGCTGGATAGCTAGGGTAAACGCGGTATATTCCGACACATTAAGGACGCATCGAGAAATGAAAAAGAAAAACTATAAAAAATAACCGTATGCGTTACTCAAGTTCTGTTTGCTTTATGTGAATCGCAAAACACCGTACTACGCGCCAGCATTGATGAAACGTCACAAAATGTTGCCATATTTGTTTAAAAGCCTTTAGAATGCAAACCTACCAAATCCCTATATTCCGACACTGTGTGTGGCAATATTCGGCACGTGGTGAGGCGTATTCCGTCCGTGCTTCAAATTCTACTGATACGTAATGCCATCACCCATGTGTTACTAGAAAGCTGGAAGGGGCTAAAATCACAATCCCATCAACCAATCACAGCTGGAAAGTGATAGGTTATGTATATGATATGAAATATGATGGACTGAAAGTTGAAAGTTCCTGGCCTTTCCAAGCTTTCAGGTCCTGCTTTCCAATATGCTATGTGTGCTGGTTAATTTAATATCCCTCTAGAATTCCACACTGGCTTGGATGTGGGTTGCAGAACTGTTGGATGTGGGTTGTTGGCAGTTGGATTTGGCCATGTGGGTTGCATTTCCAATTACGCTTCTCCTTAGAAGGCAATTGACAATTTGACGTATGATAATTTTATATGACTTACGGTACCGTTACTGGTACGGCAGTATCTCAATAGTCGAGACCGTAGAACTTCAGGCGCCGGCGGTAGAAGCGTACATTCTATAGCACATTTCGGGTCGCCTGCTGAAGGCCATGGTGCAGAGGGTGGATGCAGCATCGCCAATATATGGGTTTTTATGCCCTAAGCGTCGCCGGACGCCGGGTAATTTTAAGATGCGTCACCCGGTAATTTTTAATGAAAAGCCATTTACGCTGAGTAATGAAAAACTATTTACAAGCCACAAACTTATTTACAAGGTTGCATGCACGTGTTACTCCAAATAACTAATTTTACCCTAAAAACAGTCCGATTGTACAGCAAGTGTCAACTGAACATGTGATACTGCAGTCTGACCACCCTAATGTGACCGCAACTACGTAATCGTAAACTTGATGTTTACATTTTTTGGTGGGAACTCATTGCAACTGATTTCCGGACAAGCTTCACTGCATTCTGATCAATCCAACATACCGGAAACCTTACTTTTTTAAATAGTTGGCCAAAGACTGACAAATATATTAAATGAAAGAATTTCAACCTAAATGTGTCGGCAAGATCCTCTGAAGGAATTTTGCTACTGAAGCGTCGCCAAAGATCTTGTAATATTCATCCACTCTCTGCACAGTGGGCTGAAGGCCACCACTGCCCTGGATGTAATGGACCATCATGATTCCTGCCTTCCGGAATGTAGCCTTCAACACTTCAAGCCATCCTTATCTAGGCCGTGCGTCGAACCAGCCCTCGATCGAACGGCCACTTGTCAAAGGACGATAAATTTTGGAACAGAACTATGCTATCTGAAACCTAACCTCAGATGCGGTGAACATAAAATTACGTAATTTAACGATGCCCGGAAGTCATATTGGATACACGGCCTGGTGGTGCACGGCAGGTGGTGGTCAAGGCAAGAAGAGGACGAAGCCGAGTGGTGCATGGCTGATTGGTGTAGGTCCGGAGAGATCTAAGGTGTTCGATTAAGGGCTTATTGGTGCAGAAAATTGGTGGTGCACGGCTGCGCTCCCGCACATTACAATTGAATTGGCTGACCGATATTAATCAAAATGAATGAATAGAACAGTGTTTGGGTGTTGGTTGATAGATATTTGTGATTAAACTTGCAACAAAACATGATTGCCAATCACATGGGCCCAGTTTGACTCTGAAGTGGTACATGTGTTTACCTTGAGGCCTATTTTTCCAGGACATAGTGGTACAGTACATTTATATGTCCCATTTAAATTATTTTGATATTTTTTTCAAAATAGAATTTACCGTACTAGTTTGGATTTATTAACACATTATACATATTATTCTGGTAATAGAATGCTTAGGAGTTAGGAGTGAGGACCAATGAAAAATCAATATCCTAAATTTGTGTCTTTCATAATGGTACAAAAAAATGAAATAATAGTAGAAGAAGAAGCAATCAGAGTCAACATGTTTAAGTGAAGCTGGCTTTATGAAAACTGAAAAGATTCAAATGTCTTGACCTAAGTCTAAGAGACCTTATTTTACATCCTGGCCAGCCTGGACTTAGTGTTATGGCCATTTTTGTTGCATCAGGATTTTCACTTCAAATATATTTATGATTTTATCTAAATGTAGATGAAACGTCATGATTGAGCCACAAAATCTCAATTGAGTGGTATGTGACTGAAACTGAGATATTACAGTAAAAAGCATGATTTTTCCTAGAATTGTGTGAAATGCTTATGTTTTACAGACAATTCTTAGTGCTAGTGTCATGATGTGGTACAAAAATTTTATTTGATCTTTTATTTATTTATTTATATTTTGCACAGGTTGTTTGTCAGCAATGATATTCCAATCAATTTAATCTGACAATCTACAGTCAGATTAAAAAATATCCCTTTCTTGTTAGAATCTTCTCAATTAATAGTTAGCCTACTAGTTATTTACAATCTTCAGGAAACACTTGAAACCAGTTTAATGGGCATTCAAGATCTAATATCATCATTGGCAGACAATCCTTATTTTGGGGCAGGTTTTGGGCTGTTTGGGCTTGGAGCTGCCACTGCTGTGTTAAGGAAAAGCTTTATGGTAAGTGTCTTCACTAGTTCTTGACAATATTTTTTCACTGCATAACAGTGAATATTTGTCAAGTCAAATTTATATTTTGGCCTCTATATTCATGGCAAAGATTGGAATTTCATTAATCTGCCATCAGTTTGGGTCATCAACATAACTTGACTATTTAGGAATCTTTCACTGAACAAAATATGGGGAAAACAATGTTCATATTGAGAGACAATATAATGAGAATGACCTAAATTTATTATGACATGCTCTGCTACTAGTGCTGAAATTTAAATTTGTAAAAGTGGTTCATGTTTGCCTTGATTACTAACCTTTTATGACATTTCCAGATTGGCTCAATACTCTTCCGCCGGCACTACATGACCACACTTGAAGTACCGTGCCGAGACAAGTCTTACCAGTGGGTGCTTGCTTGGATCACCGAGAGAGGTGCTCAGAACACTCAACATCTCAGTGTTGAAACAAAGTTCACTCAAATCGAGACTGGCAAGGCAATTACAAAACATGAGTTCATACCCAGTGTTGGGGAACATTTCTTTTGGTGAGTTCTACTATTTTTGTGATCTTTCTTTCAAGTTGTGTTGAAATTTTGCAATCATTTTTATAAGATTAACTTGTGTGTGTATATATATGCATTAACTTCTTTTTTATGATTTATTTATCAAAACTGTCAAAAAACTTTTATAGATATGTCAACTTGTTATTTCATAAAATATTCATTTTGTGTGAAAAATCATTTCATATTATTGACTAAAGCCAGGAATAAATGGATTATCTTTTTGTTCAAGAATATATTTAGAAGTACAAGTTTGGTACAAAGGAAAGAAATGTAACAGAAATAACAATTTACACTGTGGATTAATTAAAAAGAAGTTCATGTCACCATGAATACCTTTGACGTAAGTTTTGTGTTTATTAGACTATGGCCAAATCACCATAACAATGACACGGCACGTCTAAAGAGTCTAGGTAAGCTGGTGATAATTCTGCGCCGTGTGTGTCAGGTACAGAGGAGCCTGGATCAGAGTGGAACGCAACAGAGAGGAGAAGACAATGGATCTACATTCAGGCACTCCTTGGGAGACAGTAAAGTTTACCACTCTGGGCAGAAACAGACACATCTTCTACTCTATGCTAGAGGAAGGTTAGCTTCTCAGTTAGGTACACTCTGTCAAAGGAAGCTTGGGGTTGATGCAAGGTTTAGACTTGGCACGGATCAGCACAGAGTTCATGCGAGAGGATGAAACGCTTCACAAGTGTGACCTTCCTACTCAGGTACTGTGGCTCAGGCATTATTGTGCAGCGCGATCGCTCTGAGAGCTCAGTAGACGTGCATTTGGCCGTTCCATTTGAAAGCCTAACTCTTACAAGTCTTGGACACCAACGCCAACTCTTCTACAGTCTCTTAGATCAGGGTAAGATATTTTGCTTCAGGATTGCTGTGAGTTTAACTCTAGATAAAATCGGTTGAAAACATAACATTTTTGTGACCAATTTTTAGGTAAATATTTTGTTTCACAAGCATAATATTTGTGATCTGTAATATTGATGAAACGTGTCAAGTTTAGAACATGTGGTCTCGCCAGCCCGAGAACTTGCCCTGGTCAAGACGGTCGGCAAGACGATCATGTACACGGCTATGGGCAGCGAGTGGCGCGTGTTTGGCAACCCACGCAACCCCCGACCCTTGCACTCTGTCGTCCTCGACACCGGCGTCGCTGAACACATCGTCCAGGACGTCAGAGAATTTATGGACAACTCCAAGTGGTATATTGACCGCGGTAAATTTATTTAGCTGATCTCATTGTATTGCATTCTGATCTGATCAGGTTGCGTTAGCAGTGATATAATAACATAAGCTTATTAATTGATCCATGCCCCATTCCAGTCAATAACTGAAGGAATCGGGTGGGATGAAGGGATAAATGCAGGATCGGGTGACTAAATACCAGTACACCACTCGGCTCTTAGTGACAATGCACATACTAATTTTCGAAGTTGTGTGTGCCTCATTCAACTCGTATGGCATATGATTTACCTTAGTTATATTGTAGTTTTAAATTACATACAATAGAGTTTCAAATTACACACAGTTTTAAATTACATATAAATTTCATATAACAATGTCGAAGTGTGGACTTGAGTTGATGTAAAGGAGATATCTAACTGAACGATATACCTGCAGCACGGGCCCTTAAAGGTACTACAATAGTTCTTTCATCAGGGTTCTAGTAGGAATAATATTGAACAAAACTGCTCACCCCCAATTGATGCTGCTCCTCAGGCGTGCCCTACAGAAGAGGCTACCTGCTACACGGGCCTCCAGGTTGTGGTAAGAGCTCGTTCATCACGGCACTGGCAGGCCACCTGCAGTTGTCTGTGTGTGTGTTGAACTTGAGCGAACGCGGCCTCACTGACGACCGCCTCAACTACCTGCTCGCCGTGGCTCCTGAGGTGATGCCGGCACTCTTTAGGTTTTAGTGAGAATTTAGAACTAATTAGAGTTAGTTCGCCTTCTGAGAATCTATTGTAAAATTAATTTAGAACTAATTGTAGTTAGTTCCCTTTCTAAGAATCTATTGAAAAATTAACTGTCGTGTGTTATCAACTAGAGCTTATTTTAGTTCACCGTCTGGGCATATATTGAAAAATGGAAGGTTTTGTGAAATAAACTAGAGCTGTATTTAGTTCGGCTTCTGATCATCTACTGAAATGAGGAAAGTTATGAGATTAACTAGAGCTTGTTATAGTTCATTTTTGATCATCTACTGAAAAAAGAACAGTCCTGTGTGTATCGTGTGTACAATATTATCATGAACTCAAAATTGATGAAACAATCATAACCTGGCCAAGACTGTGTTGTGGCAACGATTAAGATCGTAGGGACAGCTTGAAGTAATAATGTGGCTGTTGATGACTTCGGCCAGCTTCAATAATAGCGCGTCTGGTCGTGACTCTTCTCCCAAAATAACTAATGGACCATAACACTGGGAACACTTGAAAGTTGTGGCTGAATTTTTTTTTATGCTTCATCTGTAATTTCTTGCGCAGAATAGCATCATCCTGCTCGAGGATATAGACGCTGCCTTCGTCAGCAGGGAAGACAGTGAAAAGGGTGAGCAGGAGATAATATCTAGAGATTTTGTAGTATCATATTATCAGTCCTGCTTCCTTCTGAGATACATTAGCACCTACTAAATGTTCGGATAATTCATTGTCAAGAGTCGTAGTTTAGACTGTCATCAGCTATGACCTTTCTGTAGAGCACGCCTTGCCACAAAGTGCGTTTGTACCTATCCAATTTTCGGTGCTATCTTCTCATCGTTTTCATTCCAGCTGTAATAATTATGCATTAAAACATGAATTTTTCGCATTTTTTACGTATATTTTTTTAATAAAATTTTCATTAGATAATTTCAAGTTCAACATTAATAGCAATTTAAGAACGAAATAATTAATCAATTCAACATAAATATGAATCGCTGCTATTGTGTGCATAAATTTTCCTTTACTGCCGGAGGAATGCAAATATCTGGCGTCCTTAAACTAGAGCGTAATGTTCCAAAACAAATTTAATGTTTAGCATATGATTCTAATTAGTTCTAAATGTGGTCGGATACGTCGCAGCGTTGTTTTCCTGTACAGTGCGCGTGGCGTACGAGGGGCTGACACCGGTGACGTTCAGTGGCTTCCTTAACTGCCTGGACGGTGTCGCCTCCACAGAGGCCAGGATCGTCTTCATGACCACTAACTACCCTGAAAGGTGGGTTTCTTCATGACCCATCTTTCTACCGTAGTACTGGTATTACATGTCTATTGCCTTGAGTTGATATATAGGCTTCAATTATGCTGATATAAGATGCATTATTCATGATGATTGATGCGCCTTTTCTTATTCTCAATGATCTACGTAGGAGCGCAAATGACAGTTTGATAGCTTCATCTAGAACAACTGTAACCTTTGATCATGCACGGATGTGGATTGCATGTACTGATGATTACAATTATTGCAGGCTTGACCCCGCGTTGATCAGGCCAGGTCGAGTTGACTCCATCCATCACATCGGCCACTGCACCAAAGAGCAGCTAATGAAACTCTTCGAACGATTTTTCCCTGATGAACCTCCTAATTCAGCTCAGCGCTTCGCCGAGGTGGGTTCTAATTTTTTTCATTTATTGGACATTTTTATGAGGAGAATATAGGCTTTAGTTAAATGACATTTGATATTATTATGCTTATGATTTAAAAGTGCAAGATAAAATTAATTCATCAATATTCAATGTTTTTTGCCAGTTCAAGTCTGTTGAATCACGCAATTTCTAAATTCGAGCAGTCTATTTTGATATAAAAGTGATAAATAATTTGCTGCTTCATCCTAACTTCACTTCTCGCTAACTCGTCATTACAGTCGGCGCTCAGTGCGGGGACGCCGCTGAGCGCTGCTCAGGTCCAGGGACACTTCCAGCGCCACAAGTACAGCCCTGCGGAGGCAGTGAGTCTCGCTCACCAAGTCGTGGGTGACGACAGAAAGACCTGGGCGTCCTCTGGAACGTCATTGTCGATGCGGAAATTTAGTTCTATGTCAGTTAACAACGGCGCGCGGCCCTTCAGTTCAACTAGTTTTCTTCGACCGAATATTAGTAATGAAAGCAAAAGATTTTTTGGAAGTTCGTGTTGCCAATCTGGATTAACAAGTAAAAACTTGAAGACGAAGTTTTGTCCAAACGAATTATGTATATTTTACTTTCATAATGATTACCTACTGTTATAGTAATTCGTTACAATCTAATGTAATAAATAAATCTTGAAATTTGGCATTTGACTCATTTGATAACGAAATTGTTTGTATGTATGACATTCTCGTAATAAAAAGCCTTTCTTCGACAATATATTTTATTTCACTAAATTTTGGGTCGGTAGCAGTATTGATCAGGCCATCTGCCAGAGCCTGAGTGAGGGAGCCGGTGGGGGTGCTGGCGCAGGATGATCCGGGTGGGGAGGAGGATGTCGCTGCCCGCTGCTTGTGGCCAGGATGGGTAGCGTCGGGTGCAAGCTGCTCATATTCAGAGCTCAACTTAGGGAGTGTTTTTCACATTGGTGTAAACTTGCAAGAATCTACAGATATGTTTGTACTGAAATTAAATCTTTATCGTTTAACAATGGCATGCTATTATGCACTGAATATTTGATATCAAGACTTAATCTATGTCTGAGAATTACAGTAAACTTAAAACCATTGTCCAAACATGCTTCCTATAGTTTATCCTGAAGCACGATGCAATATTTCAAAAATAAGTATCGTAAGATTTCGGCCTCAATGGAGCCTAGACAAAGGAGGTATCATAACTTGTTTTTCACGTGGCAAAAAAAAAAGGCCAAAGTAATTTGGGCACAAACACAATCGAATTATAATTGAATAAATTAGACGAACATTTTATTGCTTTGATTATGATTGATTTTATTTATTTGAAAATGTCAAACGGGAAGATTCGTTTAGCTTGGTTAACTTTTACACCAGGAATTCGCCAAGACTTTTGAATCCTATGCAAAATTCTGCACTTTCGGTCTTTTGCGTACTATGTCCTCGTATCTTGTTTATAGGATTGTTCAAAATCTTTAAAACGTGGTGAAACCAAGATTGTTGCACAAACATTACTCTTATCGTGAAGTTTAAGAACCATCTTAGACACGAACTCTTACAGCGTTAGCGTAGCATTTGAAACTGTCTAACTCGATATTAAAGGAGTATTTATCTTGACTGCGTTCAGCTATTCATTGTCACTGTCGAAAACGCATTAAAAATCAAAATTTTCCCATCACATCTATCTATAGACACCTATAAAAATCTGTGTTAACCTGATGCCGTTGACGCAGTCGTCGTGAGCCGTAAAGCTGTCGTCGGGCAGCCGCGTCTCGTATGATGCGAAATCGCTCAGCTGCCACGACACGACGTCGCCGTCCGTCGATCCTGCGAGTAATGACCATGTGCAATTAAAACTAGCGAAACTCATTCACTATATCGTTAATAATCTAATAATATATTTGATTGCATAATTTACTCAGTAATAATGATTGTGAGAAGCATAACTAATGATCTGTGTGTGTTTTTTTTCATAATCTCCAGAAAGAACGTAACCAAATTGTGTCACAGCCCGTCAGTTCGAATGAATGTTTAGAAAAGCGATCGAGAACAGACGAGCTGTAGTTATGCAGCCGTAAATTTTAAGACTAGCAGTGCGTTTAACTTGAAATCTGTTTGGGGAAGACCTAGTCAAAAGCTAGTCAAAAGGCCTGTTTTTAGATCTCCGGTTGTCAGGTCAAGAACACTACATGCCTCGGCGACTTGCCAAACTTGGCCCTATTCTTCAATGCCGACACTACAATACTTGCTATGCTTTTCTGATCGGGAACTTTGGAAAATGTACACTACTACTCAAGTCAGGCACAAAGTTATCCTGCAACGATAGAATTGATTGAATCTCAGTCTAATTTCAAAGAGCGAAATAAGTTATAGTATCTGATCAATCAACTGTACAAAAAAAATATTTTTATCTGTTCGACGACAGTTCAAGTAAATTGGACTAAACCAGCAGAACCAGTATCAGCAACAATCAGCAGCATATCCGTAGCATCAGAATTAAAAAAATCCCTGAAGTATGAGAGATAGTAGTTTAGATGATTCCTTTAGGGAGATGATGAAAATTCGGGTGCTCCAGTCCTACAAAATAAATAAACTTGCATGTCCACATTTTGCACTTGCAGCAGCACCACTGACCTGACAGCAGCACCACTGACCTGACAGCAGCACCACTGACCTGACAGCAGCAACACTGACCTGACAGCAGCAACACTGACCTGACAGCAGCACCACTGACCTGACAGCAGCACCACTGACCTGACAGCAGCACCACTGACCTGACAGCAGCACNAAACACTCTTAAGGCGTTCAACCTTCCACAATATACAAATTCACGTCCTGATACAAATAATAAACACTCTTAAGGCGTTCAACCTTCCACAATATACAAATTCACGTCCTGATACAAATAATGAACACTCCAGATGCGTTAAACCTTCCACAATATACAAATTCAACAAGTTAACCACGGCTGTCCAAATGTATGTCATTACATTCTGACTTTGCTAAAATGTTGAGTGTTTAATGGTTATTAGTGGTTCAACTGCGAACAAAGCACAATATCAATACGTGCGTAGTCAATGTGTTGAAGCTACGACAATAGGTAAACTGCAACACATTTTCTGCCAGGATGCACAGACTGTTGTTTGAATATTCATGTCAGTTCCTAATACTGCATGAAATATTTCCTGAAACTCCAGTCGCTTGTAGTGCAAGGAACGGCCTTCAAACACACAGCGCATTTTCAGAGCAGGGTAGTCGTGACCCAAGTAACCGCATACAAAAAAATCCTACACAAAATAAACCATGCTTGGAATTCTCTTCTCTCCCTCCAGTCTAATAACAGAAGAAAAATATACGTCATCGATATCTATATTGTTTTTATAATATTGGTATATACCTATCAGCAGGTTAGCCCGATGTTGATCATTCCTGGAATTTTTGAAATTTTCCAAAATGTTATTCTTGTCATTGCCGTAATCAATAATTTCGTTAATAATGATAATAATAATAAAGCTACTGGTACTATATAAAATTATACAAAGATCCCTTCAAACCAAAATTTCATGTAAAAAATAGGACTCCCATTTCACTCTCATTTTTAAAAAATACGTGCAAAACTACTTCGCTTTTTCAAAATGACTTATATTTACCCATTGCAAATATCACATCTCAATTTATGATCCAATATTTTCTTATATTCAGACAGAACTGCACCTCGAACAGTGATTTAAAAACTGAACTCAGAACTTTTAAACAAATTTTAGTAAATAATGGGTTTTTAAATATAGAATAGTTGACACAGAAATATCAAACTATCGATCGAGAGACAACAGAACCAACAATAAAGCAATATCTTATGGAACCGTCAAACAATTTTTTACCAAAACCGAGTCCTACAGTCAGCCATCCACAATAATATCAAGAGCAAAACGGATAACGAAGAAATAAAACTTCTGCTTGATACAATCACAGAGGACCAAGAAATAAGAAAATCTACTACAAAAATAAGAAAATTAAAAACCTTGCCATGAACTATAATCCCTGTAAAAATCTGGAATATTTCAAGAAACTGATGTTGTTTATATACTTTCTATTAATATAGAAGGTTGCAGACTCTTCAAAATATGAACTACATTGGTCTTATTAGCACGACCTTAAGCCGCCCACTCACATACCATCTACAATCTGAAGGACCCAAGAACCACATGCGGGAGGCTCACAATGAGACCATCACCCGAGCGACATAGGAGGCCTGCACCAGCATAGCTATGCGGTACCCCGACCCATCGAGACTGGCGATAGCTGAGGCCCTCATTATCAAGAGTCGCGAGTCCAGCTATCAAGTTGCATGATACAGGATTCGTCAGGACGCTGAAATTATTTTCAGAATTATTTTAGGCTTAGATTTCAAACTGTATCCACAATACCCTTGATTTGTACTACTGTCATTTACAAAAGTTCAATTTCAAGTGTTGCAAAATCTTCAACTGCTGTATAATGAATATTTTGTATTCGAAACATCGCATTCCATTAAAATGTCATTTAGCTTTTTGATCTCCCGGCGCCAGCAAAAAATTGTGTTCGACTCATTGAAAAAACGAAAAAACAATGAGAAGATTGTTACTAAAAACCATGGTCTGGTCTTAAATCAAACTTGTATAGTATCAGGAAGAAACATTTGAGTATGTTTATACAACGAACCATCCTAGCGCCGGTGTAGAGCCTGTAGCCGTCGCAGGAGAAGGAGACCTGCGTGACGCCTCCTGTGTGGCCCTGTAGCACGCAGAACGCGCGACCCGTCTTGTGGCTGTACAAGCCTGTGGCAAGTCATGCCTTTAATAAAGACAACAAGTAATAATTGTTAAAATATTTAGGATTAAATATTAAGAAATTGGCAGTCCCACGTACTACATCACAGGTAGTTAATGATTTTTCAACATTGGCAGTGTCACGTGATCAGTAGTTAATAATTTAAAGACTATTGACAGTGCCACGTGACCAGTGGTTAATAATTTTAAGACTATTGGCAGTGCCACGTGACCAGTGGTTAATAATTTTAAGACTATTGGCAGTGCCACGTGACCAATGGTTAATATTTTTAAGACTATTGGCAGTGCCACGTGACCAGTGGTTAATAATTTTTAGACTATTGGCAGTGCCACGTGACCAGTGGTTGATCTCTGTTAGACTATTAAGAGAGCCCCGTGCCCAGTATTTTACATTTGTTCAACTACTGGCAGTGCCATCTGATTTATGCCCAAAAAAGTAGCTTACAAGTCAACTTCATGCTGTGCCAAGTTACACATTATAAGCGAAGGAAATATTTCAACTGAGATAGGTGTAGAACTACAAATAAAAATTAAATTATTGATCAACTATTAGCCACGCTCAAGAGTTAGTCAATAAGAGTCAAGTTCCATGGCTCAAGAAAATATATTTATGGAAATGTGAATAAGTAGCAGTCTCCAGTCATAAGATGTTTTCAAATATCAGATGTAATCATAACTGAAGCCGAGGTGCTTCAAACTATTTTTTTTCAAACACGACTCAATCAATGGAACGCTTGAATGAATTAAAGAACAATGTCTGATTTTATTCCCGAGTTTTTTATTCTTTATTGATGTGCAGTGAGTTTTCAGGAAATTATTGTTTTTCATTTTTTATTTTTATATTCTGCAAGTTATTTAAATTAGATATACAACGGTCAAGCTCAAACTCTGATATTAGGATACAGAGATTCAAATACAGAGAGGCACAGGATTAAATCAGAAGAATTAAAAAAAATTTTTCAAGGGGTGTTACGAACCTACTGAGCCGAGGTAGCTCCCGGCAGCCATGACCTGGTGCAGGTACGGATGATGGCTGAAGCAGGAGATGATGCCGTTCTGCTCTGCACACATACATGTTATTATTGACCCCGCAGCTATTGTATAATTCATGAGGGATTTACAACAGGACGCGGCAAATTATTGGGTAATAAATTGAAAACATTTACTATTTCGTGAAGAATCTGACAAAGGGGAATGAACAAAGTAAAGAATCTAAAGAAGGGCAAAAAACAAACTTATACAACTCTCTCACTTTACATAATACATCATTAACTATGTTCCAGTGGCACTATATCCAGTGGAGTACAAAGTGTTCTCAAAATAGTACGGACCAAATATAATACCAGCAGACAAAATAATAACACAAAAAAATACAAAATTGCAATTTTTTATAGGTCAATATTTTCCAAGTAAACCAGTGATAACTGATAAAAATAAGGAATTATAAGGGGAGTCTAGAAGTTAGTACTATTCATTCTCTATATTCAAACAATATTTCTTTTCAAAGCATGTGAGAGCATTTAAAGCAAACACAATCAAACCATTAATTCATCCTACACAAAGATGAAAGTATTGTTTATGATGACTTTATAGGGAGCTTCAATTGCCATTTCCATCCCAAATATAATATTTATATTAAAGTCACACTAAAATATTAATTTGTGATAATAATTAATCCCAACTAAATTTTTAAATAATAACTTAAAATGAATTAGGAAGATACGTGACAAATACAGATGATTTAACATTCTATCTTCTAAATTATTTGCCTTTATTATTCTAAAATCATACCTAAAAAACACAAAACCTGCAGATAATTTATGCTCACTTTTAGCACATATGGTTGAGCAGTTTCGACCGGGTCTGGCGGTGTCAAAAACTCGTATGATTTTATTGAAGCCGCACACAAGACGCAAGCCGTCGCCGCTGAAGCCAAGGCTATAAGCAGGCGCTATCTCGTCCAAGCTGTGACAAACACATTGTTAATAGACAGGACTCAATGTATACTATAGGACTCAAACTATTTTTATACTGCTGTAATATTTTGTTAGCAATTGACTTGTAACAATGGGGCTCAAACATTATTTTTTTGTTGTGCCATTATGTTAGCAATTAGCTTGATAAAATAGGATCAAAGTTTAGTACTAACCTCACACATTGTTGGAAATTGATTTGAAACAAGTCAACTCATAATTGTAATTTATTACCCTTCTATATTGTTAGTAATCAAGTTAAAACATTAGAATTTGGATGCGCATTGGTATGATTTCAATACGTAGTGTTACTTCAAAAGATGTATCCTAAGACATGCACTAGGTTATCCTGCCAAGCTATGTTTGTATGTATTGGTAACAACAAGGACGGCTGTAAAGAAACTGCTTGAGCTGAGAGGTAGTTGATTTTGCACACCCTCATGAATTATATTTTTCACAAAAAATATGCGAGTAACTTGATGAACATGCAACTCTCGTTTCCAACAAAAATAGTTAAGGTATAATTGGCCAGATACAATTTTTTTGTATAATATTATAGGAAACAAGGAAACAATAAAATGCATAATGAATAACAGTTTAGTCAAGATGGGAATATTTCATCTTCTGGAAATTAGAGGTAAAAAAGTTCATGTAACAGAAGGTATTACGGTATATGTGCTGTAACTGAGTGCGCAGAGCAACAGTGACAGCTGTAAACTATTGATTATCTTCAAGATTACTTACAAGGCAGTGTGGATACCAGAAGTAATATTAATACTGAAGCAAAACTGAAAGCATCACCAAAATGAAAATCATGTTAGCAACAACATCACCAAAAGTTCAAAAGCAAAGCAAGAGACAAGCAAGCTCACCATATCTTCAATGATGTGGCCAACTTGTCAATGAACTTGCAGCCAACAATGAAGATGTGGCCAACTTTTCTTGTTTTTAAATTCTTGAACTTGTGATTTAATGAATTTAATTCTCGAATTTGCAATAATTTAAGCTAATGATCTAACAACACTATATATATAATATAAACACGTACTGATTGTATGGCAGGTATGAGCAAACCAGGGCACCACTGCTGGAGTCCCAGAGGTGTACAGGAAGGCCTCGACAGCAGGACACAAAACTGTGCACAAATCACCTTGTCAGTTTGGAACCATTTTAGAAATTAAAATTACCATAAATATTGTGATGGAATAGCCGGCAAATTCTTCAGTAGCAGGGAAAAAATATGAATGATGCAAGAAATTTTAGTTGATCACCCAAACCAAAAGTGACAACTGCTCTCAATATGGTTTCAGTTAGAAAGTTGCTCTATACAATGAAAGTCACAGTAACTTAAAAATGATCATGTGTGTACATCAAGTCCTATGTTGGAGATATAAAAATCAAATTTTACTTGGCATAGAAACAAATAAAATATTTTATAATCTTTGAGAACATCAAGTTTACTTACAAGTAAAATGAAGCATAGTTGGCAATGATTTAATCAAACTGATTAAATTACTTTATTTTTCTATAAAATTCACAATTTTTTAAATATTTTAGATTTTTTCATTTTTTTATATTTAAGCTGATGAATAGACTTATCAATAATTGTTTACCCAAAAGTCCCAAAGTGGTAAACACCACCTTGGCCATTCTTGAAGGCAATAACTGCCCTTTTCAGCCATCCATATACTGTTATTGTTAGTAGGCTAATTGCAAAATAAAAATACCATTTCAGACAGACAAAAATAATAAATAATGAAAAAACAATAAAATAATTGCTTTTTATTTTTTTTATTTAAAAAAAATTACCAACCCTGAAATGAAGGTAATGCTAGTTGCCTCTCACCAGCGGGTAGAGGGCTGAGCATGCGATGTGAAGGGGTACCACTCATAGTCATACACCAGCTCTCCTTCCATGACATTAACTGTAAGTTCAGCTGATCCTTCATGCTCTGCAACCAACATATCATTTCTTTATATTTACTTCATTTTTCCTCAATTAACATTATATCATGGTAAAATATTATACAAATCATGTTAAAAAAGGGTATGAATTTGTTTAGTTTTCACCCACTTAAACCCACACTATACTAACACTCCTCTTCTAATTTAAATTAAACAATGCTATAAACATTGTTTTTTTCAAATAAATAAGCAGGTGAAGGATATTCAAGCATATTATAGTGTGATTAGTGCAAACAGCACCTATAGGGACCAGTAAATGTATTACCTATAAATCAAATCTATTATTTGAATACAAACATGGAGTGGGTTTAGTGACATTGGATGGCATGCAATAGCACAAACTAATAGCACAAATTAGAGCAAAATAAATGAAAAAATTGATCACATAGATAATTTTCTCTAAAAGACACATTTTTAAACAACTTTTTAACACAACATTGGTGATGATTTATTTAACAAACCTGAGGAAATGAGACATTCAGCCTTAGGATGGGTAAGGGTAAACTTCTGATCTGAGCTCAGCACTAGCAGCTGTGTGCCGTCTGGTGACCTTCAACAATCCAGAATGTCATAATTAAGGGGCGACATTTGATTCAAAGTACAACTGTTGTAGCAATGCAAATTGTAATGTTGTTGTTCCAATGCAAATTGTAATGTTGTTGTTCCAATGCAAATTGTACTTGCAGCATTTAAAATGGGTAAAAGATACCATTGACGCATTATATACAACAATGAAAGCTTAATATGGCAGTAGAAATAATATTTGTTATACTTTCTCCCAAGGAGTGCAGAACAATACAAAAAACTTACTTACTTATTGATATTGATAATACATGTAAATAACAAAAAACTCAAAAATTATTTACATGTATTTCACTAACCATTTGCAGCCTTTGGTATACTTGTCTTGATGAGAAAAGAGATGCGAATAATCTTGCAGTAACACTGGGTTCTTGAAGTTTAACTTGTAATTCATTGTGGCCATTGGAGAATTAACAGAACTTTTTTGAATTTTTGAGCCATCAATAAGTCTCTGACTTACAGGAGAATTTGGGTCATTAAAATATGACTTAGAATTGGCAGTAGGACCCATGTCCATTTTTAATATTGAGCTGCCGTCAGCATTGATGTTTTGCAGACGCTTTAATGTGAAGACTTTAGCTCTCTCAAGCATGTCTGCCAAATGCTCAGGAAGCTGTGGAGTATCAGTCATCCTCAAGTTTGAAGGTTTATCACTTGTAAGTTCAGGATTATTTGAAGAATCATCATGTAAGCTCTGGATTATTTTGTCTTGGCTTGTGTATGATCTGACATCTTCAGCAAGGTCTGAACTCACTACAGATTTCTCTCTGCTAATTTGTGGATAATCATCTTCCAAAGAATTTTCTTTAGTTTCATAGAAGTAATTGTTTGAAATGCCTTGAGAATCCTCAGCAATTTCATCATTTTCATCATGTTGGAATTTTCTTTTTTTCCCATTGATCATTTTGAGAGATTTAGCAGGATGATCATTTTCAGCTTTAATTTCTTGATTCCCAGCTACATAGCCAGCAATTTCCTGTGAGCTCGTTTCATTGTCATTGAAACATTCATAGTTAGATTCGTGATTTCTATTGGTAGTCAAAACTTTTGCAGGAGAAACTGCATTGGTAACAGTACCAAGTAATCTAAATACAAGGTCTCGCTGTAATTCCATTGCATCATGACCTTCTCTGCTTGACATTTTATCTAATTGCCTCACTGATTCTGAAAAAGCAATACAATTAGTGAATTACATGTAGCCATACAATTAAAATGAGAAAATCTTATATACTGATATGGAGTTTAATGAACAGAAATGTAGATATCAATAACTATAAGCAATAATGTATCATTCACCTGTGTCAGGGTAAGACCTGATATACTTATCAAGTCAAAATGTAGTCCCTAACATTATAAGGAAACAAGATTATAAAAATCAGAATTTTTCCTGAAATTTTGCTATGTATGATTTTGGATGAATTTGAAATTTTGCAACTCATGTTGAAAAGTTAATTTTTCTAGCAAGGATCTTGTGAATTAAATTTTATGAGAATACTTTAACCAGTACTAATCAAGTTTTCATAGCCTCATAGCACTTCTTACTTATGGTGCCAGCCTTCAAAGGTAAACTAAAAGATAAGCAGAATGGGAAGTTGAGTAAAAAATCTACTGAGAAGCAGTTCAAATGAAAATCAAGTGTCATTAATAGAGTAAATGACTCAAGCTGGAAAAAGTTTTCCATCATATTTGGACTTTAACAAAGCATAATTGGCAAATAAGTAGCAAATAAGAATGTTATCTAAATTTCAGGACTCAGTACCATCAAACGGGGTAATAAGGGACGGATTTCAGCGTTTTTTGTTAATAACTTCTTACCATGAAACATTCCATAAACAACTTTAGCCTCATTTAATACCTCTTTGCGAGGGCTATTGAATGGCATCTCCAAAAAAAAAAAAAATTTCATATGCTATTCGTAAGGTGCCAGACACAAAATAAAACCTTCCCAAATTACCCCTGGGAACAGGGTAATCCGGGACATTTGAAATAAAACTCCATTTTAAAATGTTTGAAGCATGCAGAGTGTACTCATCCATTACTAACAGTACTCTGAAGTCCTCCTCTTTCTTTGTAGATGATGTAGATGTAGTATAAATGACATTTTCTGTGTTTTTTACTCATTTATCTTTTATTGATAGTATAACGATATTCATTCATTACCGGATTATTTATGTGATATTACCGTATCCATAAACATGCCATTGAGCATTTACAATGACCTTGTCCACTGCAAGCTTCATATCAGCAGCTGTATATATAGCATTTCTTCTGTATCTGTAAGCTTACAGGATGGCTTGTGATTTCACACCATTTAAGGTTAAGTGAATTCAATACAATAAATAGATCGTAAAAAACATACCGTACCTGAAACAAAGGAATGTTTTAGTAACAACCATCGTGTGTTTTGGAGAAATAAATTAGAGTTTAGGTTAATTACTTTTCATTCCATGATGCCCAATGCACAATTCTATATATAACATTCTGTGCACAATTTTGTGATGACTGATGATGCATTAATTTTTTGATAAGTGAAATTTTTTTCACTGAGCAAGGTAAATCTAATCAAAATTCATTGTTGTTAATTAATATTTTTTCTTAACTGGAGACTTTGCTAACTGAATTTAAACTGTTAATGAACAAGAAGTGAAGTTAAAGAGAAGTGTTGTAAAATAAATAGATCGTAAAAAACATACCTGAAACAAAGGAATGTTTTAGTAACAACCATCATATGTTTTGGAGAAATAAATTATAGTTTAGGTTAATTACTTTTCATTCCATGATGCCCAGTGTGCAATTCTATACATAACATTCTGTGCACAATTTTGTGATGACTGATGATGCATTAATTTTTTGATAAGTGAAATTTTTTTCACTGAGCAAGGTAAATCAAATCAAAATTCTTTGTTGCTAATCAATTTTTTTTCTTAACTGGAGACTTTGCTAACTGAATTTAAACTGTAAATGTGTTTTAGGGATGTCCCTTATTACCCTGTGGAGGTGTCCCTTATTACCCAGTTACACGGAAATCGCTGCCATTTTTTTTTGAATGAGATATATATTTTTTTAGTTGGCGTTAAGACTTGTGGCGACAAAAGCGTCCACCAGCCTGATCCCTGTCAGAAAAAGAAAGCAAAGCAGCAGACTCGGAGCTCTGCTAGACTAGGTTGCTGCCCCACCAGCACACTATGGACTATGCAAAATGCAGTCTGTCTGTATAACCACACACTTGCTGTGTCTCCATATTAAAATCGCTCTCCATCATAGTAGATTCACCATGCCAGTCTGCAACAAAAATTGTGATAGATAAGAAAATACAGGCTGTGTTCAGGTTCCAAGGGACTCCAATGCTAGCCAAGGCAGTGATAAAGGCTGCTCTAGGACCTGCAAATCTAACACAGGCAAGCATGAAATACAAGATGGTGTCCTCCTGGTGACAAATAGAGCAGGTTGAGTCCTGTGCCATCCCAAAGCGGGCCCAGCGTGCACCAACGCCCGCATGGCCAAGGCGCAAATGGGCCACTGCACACTGCATTCTCCAACTAAGGCAGCTGTAGTCAATGTGATCAATAGAGTTTTCAAGAATCAGTTAAAAATGGCCACTGCCAGTCTCTGCAACCTGGCTGCTGCAGTATTCCTCCCATTGGGTGAGGAATGACTTTCAACTGGCACATTAACTCCTCAAAGCACAAGATAGAACAAGAAGATCTGTTAGGGCCATGAGAAAGGTTAGCAGCCTGGTCAGCAATCTCATTGCCTCTCACTCCACTGTGGCTCTTCACCCAGGAGAGGGAGACTGAATTTAGACCTTTCTGTATAAGCAGCATGTGAATTCTAAAGACTATTGAAGAATAAGTGGGGCACCAAGTGTTCCTGATGAGATACAAGGACTGAGTCTGTAAATATAACCACTGGGCGGCTTCGAAGATCTCCATGACTTAGGACTAATTCCAGTGCCTTGTAGATGGCAAACAACTCAGCACCCATTACACTGTGCAACAAAATTTTGAATTACCTGTATCTGATGTGTTTTTTACACTGATTCCATGTATGCCCTTGAAATTTCTCTAGCATGTCAGGTTTTCGAGTTATGCTTGTGAAAGTATTTTATGCATATAACTTCAGGGTCAGCCTCCAAAAATGAAAATACATTCAAAATAAGTATTGCATGGTAAAAGTGTGTTGGTGGTTTCAAATGCACTTTTATTGTATAATAATGGCTGAGATAATATTTTTTAGTGTTTGTACCATTGCTATTGAATTTTATGAAGGGTTGGCTTTGGTTCATTGTAGAGCACTGCTAAATGCTTCATGTATATTCCATTAGTGTCATTGTCTGAAAAATCTATCAAATTGGTAATAAAAATAAAGTGTCAGATGTCAGTAATAAAGTGTTTGTAATAAAAAGTGTCAGATGTCATGTGTTTTCTTGCTAACTTCATTTGCCGTGCACTTCTTCAAACATAGCTCATGCACTGTCACAGAGTTGGGATAATAATTATTTTTCATGTTTCACACAATGATATTTCCCCCAGCCAATCTTGCACATAGTTCTGCAGCTCACTAATGGGAATAGACATCTCTATTTTCTATATCCCTTTGATGCAACTTAAAAAAGTGCACTAAATTTCTCTAATTAAAAAAGCTAACAAGTTATAATGAAGTTTCAGAAAAAGATAAAAATTTTGACCATAATACTCCATATACTATACAATAATATATTCATTTAAAAACTATTTTTGATAAACTGTAGGGTAATAGAGGACCATTTGTGGGGTAAGACAGGACCATTTGTGTGGTAAAACAGGATCATTTAGTGGTCCCATCTTACCCCATGTCCGGTCCTTTTTACCCCATTTTGGAATACATGTCAGGCAGCGATGGTAGCAGTTAGGAATGCCTAGTATGTCTAAAAAGTTGCCTATTACTTGAGGTTACCTGCCTACATCCACAAACCTGGCCAAAAAAATTTTTGTCATTAGACAGAGCTTATTTCCCAAACAGGGTTAACTATTTTGTGACCCATCTTTACATAGATTTTCTTTAAAAATTAGCCAGAAATTCATTATTTGCAGAAGAGGGTTGCCACAAACACTGAAATGACAGGCAATGATTGATCTAACATATTCTTTTGTCAAATTAAATTCAGTGCAATTAGAATGCATGCCATGGGCTGGTCCTTTCTTACCCCATGACGGCTGCGATCCTGTCTTACCCCATTTGACTATATGCCATTTGCTGTTCCAATGATCTGGATTTTTCCCTTGCTTTTTCCCACTTGGGAAATGCTTTTTCCCACTTGGATTTTTTCCCTGAAAACCTTGAGATATAAGTGATGAGCATGGTGAGCGTTTTCACCAAGATATTGCGCTTTTGGAAAGTCGGTATCAAGGTTGATTTAATCCAAATATGATGGGAGACTATTGTTGGTTGCTACAAAGGGAGGAAGAATCTACTCACCGTCGCAAATCAAGAGGGAAAAAGAATTTCTAAAATAAATATCATAACAATTAGGTAAGATTTCTTTTAAAACTGTCTTGATTTCAATTCTTTTATATTTTGATTACATAAATATGATGTTTGGAATGTATAATCTAATATTATTTAATCATGTTCAGTTTACCAAATGTTGCATTTTTATGAATTTCATCAAAATTATTTTTTAAATATCTCAAAAACTATATGTGCTAGAGTACTTCAATTTGCAGATTTGAAATCAGCAACCTCGATTCCTTAAGAGAAAAGTATTTTGGTTTGAGTTTAAAAAAAAATTTTTTTGGTTGCACAGTGTTATTGTGTGGGTTGGTGAGAGTAGCCACCCTGTTGCCAGTGACAGTGAGGGAACATATACACCAGCCAAAACAGAGCCCTCAGCTAGCATGAACCATCTGCGTAGATCTGAACATGGTCAGTGTAAGTAAATTCTAGCCTATGAGCTAGTAGAGCAGAGGAAGAACCAGGATGAAGAGACATCAAGAGCCCTGCTCCTAGGTCCAGACAAATGTTCCCACACAAAGAGATGTTTGGTGGGATGGGAGAGAAGGCAGGGGTGCCCACTCTTTGTGGAAGTGAGAGTCCATGATCATTAAACAAAGATTGCACCTGTGCTGCAAATGGCTGTTGATTTATAGGAGCACCACCCTGTTGGAACGAGATAAGCAAATTCTGT